AGTATCAGTGTGGAGGTTCCACTTAAATAGACCTACTTTAATAAAATAAAAAGTCAACTCCAATAATAAAAACATTTGTTTAATTTCAGTCCCGTCCCACGTTGAGCTGCCTAAAGACCTTTTTCACACCGGGGATGAAATGAAAAAAGCTATGAGGAATATTCGTTGATGATTTTTCTTTGACACTAAACATTCCACAAAATTTGCACAAATTGAAACAGACCAAACAACTTTGTGTGGATAGGCTGGTAGAGATAGATGGGGTCAATTTATCACCAGTTTATTCAGACTGGTAGTGATTTTAACCAAATAAAAACAGAATCAACCGTTAATCTAAATTTCCCCTGTACGGGGGACTAACAAAGGTTTATCTTATACTACAGCTCAAGCTTTTGTGGATGTTTGATGGCACTACATGGTTGAGGTACAAATTACATTATTGTATAAAGGCCACGTTACAGATTTTAATCCAAGACCCAGATCTGGGGTCTGCTGGTTTAACAAGTCAACTGATTATTTACCGTATTTTTCCTTTTTGGTTTTAGCTGCTGAGCATTTGGAAATAAATATTAGGATTTGATCTGATACTTTTATCAGGTCCCTCTTTTTTAAGTTATCTCATCACATTGTTTACTTTTCACTCTGTTTTTGTTGAGATAGCTTCTTCTCTCTCATTTTGGTGACATTTCTTTAATAGTCTAGTGGATATTTCAATTTTGACTCAACAGTGTGAGAGAAGCACGAGAGAACCTCTGGGTGAAGTATATGATAATAATCTGACCTCTCACTTGATTTATTAACTCAGTTAGACTGATGAGTCTAAATATGATCCCTTCTATATAACATTATCCAGAGACTTACATTAGCTATATACCGTGCATCCAGAACAATACTCATAATGACAACATGAAATGAGTTTGTTGACAATGACATAGCTTTAGTGCTGCATTTAACGCCCTATTAGATTCAGTTGGCTTCAGTCAGTGTTCATAAAGCCAGTCACTGTTTAAACCACACCCTCCTCAACCTAGTTTTGGCATTGAAATTGAACATTTAGTAGTTTTTTTTACACAGAATCCCACTTTATCTGACCACTATTTAATAACTTTTGACTTCCTATTACTGGACTACGTGCCCTCAGGCAAACGTTCCTACACTAGATGTCTATCTGATGGACAGGAAGTGATTCCATCAGCATTTAATTCAAAACCAGACAAACGTCTGTAGGCCTATAGGTTGATTATAAAGTTTGTTACTACCCATGTTTACGTTCGTTAGGCCGTTGTAGGCCTTAAACTTGAACAAATTCTGTTAACAAATTCGAGCAGCCAACTTAAAATGTCCAAGAGCTTAAATCTTTCCACAGATTGTAACTGAAAAACAAAACAAACTGACCATTAGCAGCCGTCGTTCAGCTGGAAGCTCTGAAAATCACCTGTGTGATTTGATTGTTTTAGCTCTATTACTCATTGTATAAACAGGAAATGACCACGAGTTACTTGTTTTTATTGATTTACTGTATGTTAAGGTCTTGTCTTTAACCTTCTTTGGATAACTGAAAACCTTCACAGACAATGCTAACGATATTAATACTAATATAATCATTTTTTTAAAGTCCATATTACAACCTGTCATAACACAACATGTACATAATGTACATTATAGCCTCTGGTTTAGGTAAAATAGACGCGCCTTTTAATGCCCCTGTTTACCACTAGGTGGTGGACTTTGATTATGTTTCCTGATGTGAACGGATTCTCTGTCTGTATAAGCGGTCATACCTTACTGCTTATGGATGACTAGTGTTCTTAAATATTATTGGTGTTTTTTTTACTATGGTGGCTTCTTGTTATAACCTTTGAGTAGTTATTAAAGTACTTACTTTGTTCTGTTATGAATACTCTTAACCTGAGGAAAAAACCATGTACAGGATGGGGAATATTCTGTTATGCATGTGACTTAAACCTTTTCTTTATTGAGACTTTGCAGATATTTAACACAGAAACCAGGTCTGATGGCTTCATGGAGGTTCAGAGAAGAACAGTCACAGATCCTGGATTCACTTGTGACGTCTGAAACTGTTTCAAACACGTATTAAACTGCAGGCTGCACAACTTTGATAAGTAAAGATCCCATACAGACGTGTTTTAGGACATAATATCTAATTTAAAGTTCAATGAGCTTGGTAAATGTTAAAACTACACCTACTAGGTACTGAACTTGGTATAGGTTTGGCCACTATGTTCACCTGGGAAGAAAATTATTCACATTACAAGATACAAACGTTTGACCAACAAGTAGCCTGTCTGAACACTGAGTTTTCAAGGTGCTGTGGCTGCACCCTCACAAACACCTGAGAAACCAATCACAGAAATATACAAACGTACAAGGCTAGACACAAAAAGCTATTAGAGAATAAAATATACAGAGTTTGCTCTAATGTTAAATTATTTTATTTTTCAAGCATCAGTCATATCAAAAGCATTAAACACTTCACACACGTTCACTGAACATAAGCTTCAACGATCAGAGTCAGTAATACAAAAGTCCAAAAAGCTCCTTCAGCCGACAAAAAACTGAAGACTCGCTCTCTGGTGTCCAACGCAACAACGCAAACAGAACAGAAATAAACACGTCCATCCTTCAATTTCTAGCCAATGTACCAGGCAGAACTGTAGCTCCCCATCTGAAAAGGCCTTGAGACGGGCCTGATGTGTGGAGTCTCCTGCTTGCTATATTATAAACAAAAAAACTTGCTGTAATGGTGTTCAAGTTGACAATGGGAGGAACAAAACGGCCCTCAGGTCATTGGGAAATCTCCTGGTGCTCTTGAGGGCCAGTCCGCTATTCTACATACTTTTCTGAAACAAGTGAACTCCAATAACAAAAAACAAAAGTTCAGTCCCGTCCCAAAGATCTTTTCACACCGGGGACGAAAAGAAAAAACTAAATGAGGAATATTCGTTGATTATTTTTCCTTTGACACAAATATTCTCACATTTGCCCAAATCGAAAGAGCTGCAGAAAAAATACAAACAATTCAGACTTTGTTTTGGGCTCCTAGAGATAGATGGGCTCAAATTATACCCAACGTATTCAGTCTAGTAGGACTTCTAACAAAAAGAAAACAGTCTCGGCCATTAACCTGAATTTCCCCCACACAGGATTAATAAAGGTGGGCCTATATCTTATTTTACAGCTCAAGATTTTATAGAGGTTTTATGGCACTACATTATTTTAAACAGGCCACATTACAGTTTTTAATCCGAGAACTATTATGGTGGCTTCATCTACTTCACGTTTATGGAGAGAGGAGAAAATACAAATGCAATACAACAATAAAACAAGACTAAGGACAATGAATCAAAGCACATACAGGGTACAGAAATGTTTCGAGATCTTACTCAAACAGTTGTTGAGAGATAAAATCCCTGAAATAAAAACAGCCTTTGTGAAACTTGTTCTGTTATTTAACACTTTAACATCCATATCAGAAGACATGGTCTAGTTTCTAAATTGTAATACTGACTCACAACCCATCAATCATTCTCTAAAACTGTTGTCTTGTTGGCAAATTTCACATCTGTAAGGCTCGAACACTTCAAAGAATTAATTCTCATTTGTTCTGCATTGAATTACAATCTCTCTTTGACTCGGTCTCTAAATTATTGATCGTTGATTGGCCACTCGCCTTAGTTATGACTTTACGCCTAAACTAATTAAGTTATGCCACAAGTAATCGTGGTGCAACTAATTTTAGTAGCTTTAAGTGGCTATGGTATAAGTGGGATAACACTTTTAATATGTTGCATGATTGTAAAGGGTGATGCGGGGAACTTCTTTAAAATATGTCAGAATAATCCCATATTATGGCATAACATTAAAGCCTCAGAATTAAAATTACTTAAGTAAATGTATTTAGTTCTACCACTGCTGTATTTACATAGTTCATGTAAAGAATTCATTTAAACTGTTTGAGGCAAAAAGATGTAAAACTATCTAACATTTCTTTAAAAAGTTAGTATTTGAGAACTCAAAAGTAATTTGTGTATCAGAATTGTTTTTTTTTTCTTCTTTCCTTTCCTATTATTCAACTCACAATCCCCCAGATTTATCTGGTGACTCCTTACAATATGAAGTTAAATAGGGTGCCAAATGTGAGAACATTTTAACTTGTTTACAATATTCACACACGTGAGTTGAATGTGAAGTCACAGAATAAATATTCACAAATGTGTAGACTGATATTTACATGAATACAATCACAGCTGCTAACTTGTAATACAACATTTACTTACTTACATACTGTATTAACACAATGAGAGCACAAAGCGATTATCAGCCACAGTCCAGATAAAAACCTCACCAGCTTCATACTCCGTGTGATAAGCTCAAGTCTTCCTTTTTAAATTCAGTCACCTTTTGAATCAGGTGATTAGAGGATTCTTTCAGACTGAATGTTTTCAGTAGTTTTATTCTAAAACTAATCAACTAATCATTATTTTCATAGTCGACTAATCTGTTAATTATTTGATTAATCGACTAGTCACGATTATTTGTCACCCCCTAACCCTAATTAAACCATTTAACTAATGAAATATCTTTCAAGTGAATTACTGATCTCTAACACACAGCCTGAGGTTTACTATTCAGAATGAACACTAGTATCAACGCCAGGGGGAAACCAGGGAAGAAGACAGCGTAGGATACTCCTGTAATTCACAGATGTATTATTGCATTTAACTTTCTCTTAGTCAGCAGCGTCCATGAGACCTCAAAAAGCAAAAATAAAACAAGAACGATGGAGCGGCCGCTTCAAGAGAACAGCCAGGCTTCATCACCCAAAACAATAAGCTCATAATCTGATTTACTGCCAAGTAGATTTTAACTTTAAAACTTTTTAAAGATTTTTGCTTTGGAACTATAGAAAATAAAAGCACATTAAAAGCAAGTACTATAACCACAGCTGTACACAAACCACAATTGCACATCAAGATTATTTATATTATATTTATTTATATTTTTCCAGTGGATAATCACATTTTGACAACAAAGTAAAACAAAAGCAACAAACAAGGTTCAGAAATAAAATGGAGACGTAAGAGTAAAAAATCTATACAGAATCCAGTAATAAAATAATCTTTGTGAAACTTTTTACATCTTTGTTGATACGACCTATTTAACTGGCATTTAGCAAGTAACCCCTGTGTGGCCCAGCATACAGATACATGATAGGAGACGAGATTAAAACGTGACTATTTCTCATCAGGAGAAAATGTCTCACATTTTTTTTCACCATTAAAGTTTTGTAACTTTTAATAGCGGTTTCCCTTTTTTTGTATACAATTGTAAATCTGATTCTGTAAAATCAGTGAGAACCCAACTGTTTTATGTATTTAGTCAATAACAAATTACATCTGTCTCATTTTGAACAGAAGAATTACTGTGTGTACATCTGCTTTTTAAATTACATTCAAATGTAAAATCACTGATTATCTATAAATAAATGTGGCTCATTATATGAAAGGATTATGTCCTATTAAATACAAATAAATAACATTTCTCTTCTGTCTTTTCAAACAAATCATCTTTTATAGTTGCCATTGTGAACTCATAACCTGCAGAAATGTTGGTCATTTCGATTAAAAAACATTTTCCCTGCTGTAAAATGTACATTTAAGTTAGAGAAGTGCTCTAGTGATTGTCTGTCATGATGAAAGACAATGAAACCTTTAACCCTGACTGGACTGGCAAGTACTTTTTATTTTCTATATTTACAATTTACAGTATATACAAAAAAAACAGCATTGGACTAATCTACATGATTCAGTACATTCACACACACCTTTACACCTCCTCTGAATGAGCTCTACAAAAACCGTTTTCCTGGGGACGAGAACCTGCAGAAAAGAAAAGTAGACATTACATAAAGTCAACTTTTATATAATACACACAAATGATTAGTCAATTACAGCTGGGAGACACAGTTTATGGATCTCCACCTGCAGAATATAAACTACACACAGAAAGTAAGAACATTTGTGTTTGGAGTGTTTCTTTGATGTAATAATGCTTCTTGGCAGTAAATCTTACAGCAGTGGAAAACCTGTTTATGTCCTTTTTAAATGGTGTAACTCACACACTCCGCTCTGCTGCTCATCACACAAATACACGTTTCTTACAAATGTGACATAAACAGGTTTTCCACTGCTGTAAGATTTACTGCCAAGAAGCATTATTACAACAAAGTTCATAGATTATGATTAAGTCATGTATAACATTCAACCTGCAACTATTGTTGGAGCTGGAACCAGAGAAGGTTTTGGCGAAAGGACAAATCTGACCTCAGAGTAAGAAAACTTGGTAGCACGTTACATTATAGGTTGGTAATAACTTGGGAACATTTTTATTTTAAAGATAACTAAGTAATAGCTTGGTTTTAACAATGGGTGTATCTAGGGCTGGAAGATTTGACCTAAAATCACAATTAAATATTTTACCTCGATTACGATTAATGAACTTTTGTTTTGGGTGGTTTTAGACTAAAATGTATGTAACAGGGTAATGATGGTCACAAACAAAGTGTAATAACAGGGAAACAGATTTAAAGATTGCAACAAAGCAAAACTTATTTAGTATTATATGCTGATGGAAATGTGGTACCTATATCAGCAATATTTGGATTAAAATTGGTAATATGTTGACAATAATGGGACAATAACCTGTTAATGAGGTAATACAGGTTGATGTTTTAGGCTACTTTCAGCGTAATACCTTCAAAATCACGTGAAATTTATTGGAAATAACTCCCTAATTACTAAATTATGTTGTAACCTCCTTTATCTTCCAAACTTTTAACACGGGGCCCATAAAGAAACATTTAGAAAATAAATTTTAAGGGCCAACTTAACAACAAAGTACCCAGATATACTCATTGTTAATACCAAGCTATTACCTGGTTATTACCTGGTATTACTTAATCATTACCTTTTTATTAAGTGCTACTGAAAACTTCTCAAGCAGCCAAAAATAAATTAAATTCTGCCATTTGTGAATATTTCAGTCACAAAGCAGCACAAGTGAGCGAGTTTTGTCTCAGAGCTGATGTTTCAACTTTTTCAGGTGTGTTCAATCATTTTAAGAATCAGGACATAACAGCTCAGTTTGTTTTTACAAATCCACTTCAGGAGATAATCAGATCATTTAAATGGTGGTCAGTATCAGCAGACAGGCAGAATCTTCAGGACTTTTACTTTCATGTTTCCAGAGACAAAATGGAAAAACAAGAAGTGAATGATATAAACTTAGACTAATTATTATTTTGATTATGTGATATTTTAGTAATTGTTGAGTTTTTAATCTCACATTTGATACTGATTTTTTAAATTTTATTTAAATGAAATAATTAATTTTTTTATTGTCTATTAATATACACAAATTTACAGTTTTATTAAAATTGTTTAGTATATTATAATAACACATTTATTTTAATATATTACTTTAATTTTCTAACACAGGCTTATTGTTTTACTTATTTACTTTTTTAAATATTTATTTTTACAGAATGTTTATATTATATATTTTTTATTGTTATTATTTTATTTGGTATTAACACACACAAACAACTTTTGCTGTTTTATTTCCTTATATAATGAAATATATGAAATTAATTGTCCTTATGTGCTTTATATGCAGCTTTGGTAATATTGTTGCTACACATTCATGCCAATAAAGCTAATTTGAATTTGATATTCAAACATCTGTTTAAAGAAACTGTCAAAAACATCCATTTAATGGACAGTTATGTATTTAAAGCTTGCTTTATATTTTTTAACAATCACAATGTGAACCAGAGGCCTCATAAATAAATAAATGAAGCTTAGTGGATTATTTTTATTTTTTATGTAAATACCAAACGTAAGGGGCGCCCGGTAACTCACCTAGTGGAGCCTGCAGGTTTGATTCCTCCCCTCTTTTGTTTTTCTTCCCATTTTTCTGTTTCTCATCAGCTGCTCCTGTCAAATAAAAGCAAAACGATCAATTTAATAAAAAAGAACATTGAAGAAAGAACATTGTGACATGAGATGGTTTCTGTATCTGTTATGTTGATAGAATCCATTATATAAACTGACCTTTATTACAGCGTACTGTGATGATCTTTGTAGCTACTAGCAAACCTTGAACTGCAGCAAGAATTACAGCTCCCAAAAAAATTCCACCCAACCATCCTGTGACGTCCCCTCTGCTGCACGTGTCCTCAAACAGTTTCTCTGAAACACACAACAAAACCTAGAGTCACACTCAGAATGTAAACTGTATCTCATGTACAGCACACTGGTTATTACCTACACAGAACTACTACTGAGGCGGCCATGCTGCTAAAATCTATGAACATGTAAAACTACTTGCAGATAAAACCACTAAGATGAATCTCACCTGGCAAAGTGATGTTACTACTGATTATATGACCGATGTCGTCCTGCTGGACTACACAGTGGAACTGATTGGTTTCGGTCTTGGTCACAGTGGTTTGGAGGGTGATGTAGAAGTGACCTTCTCTTTCTGAGACCTGTGGCTCCTCAGCAGGAAGTTTGTTTCCAGCCCTGTCCTGCCACTCTACTGTAGGTTTAGGAAAAGCACCTCTAACTTCACACTGCAGCAGGACCCCAAACTCTGTGATGTCAACTATCGTGATGGACGGCTCTGCAGCTGCACCTGTGAACACAATAATAAGAAAATCATGTAAACAGAACACTACAAATGTAGTTTCCATTCAAATATAAAACTCAGGGTTTCAAACTTAAAGACAGATCAGGAGAAAGTAACAGTGACTCTTGACTGACGTCACTGATCTCTACATCTGCAGCGTGTGTGCTACAACTTAGTGACCTTAGAGCTGGGTAATATTCAAGACGTTTGACAGAACACGTTAACGCAGACATTGTCCTTTATCATAATGAACCAAGCCAACACAACACCTTCAACATCAGCTTCCACTGATCAGTCTGACAGTGTTGCTGGTGGCTACAGGCAGTTTACCTACAAGTGCCTCTGAGAAAACAGCAGCAGGTGTGTGTTTGTGTCTCAAAAGCAGCCAATAAACAAAGCAGATGTAGAGATCAGTAACATCCAAATGTGCAGAACCTGCTGTGATGGTTAGTCAACATGAAGGTCCTGCGTCAAACGTTTAAATGATACTGAGGCCCAGAGAGTTGTAGCACACATGTACAGATCAGTGACGCACCTGTGATTTCGTTTAAACGGTTTCTGAAGGTGAGATCTGAAAGAGAATATTAACATAATTAGAACATTAATTACTGCACAGTGCAGGGTGATGTTATGAACTAGTCATGTGTTATTAGGCTAGTAATTTTAAATAAACAGCCATTTGTGAACATTAGGGGTGTAAAGATACCAAATCCACAGTTCGGTTCATATCAAGGTGCAGACTAGGTGTGTGTGAGTGTGGGGAGAAGAGCAGAGGAGCAGATTAAAGTAAATCAACACTAAACTAAGGTGGAAAATTACCTACTGTTAATACAAATAGCCCACAATATACACCGTTACAAAGCCCACCCTCCACCGGCCGCCGCCGGCACAGTTGCACTGTGGTTAAATCTGTTTCCCTATTATTACACTTTGTTTTTGCCTAAAACCACCCAGTACTCTTTCCCCATTCATTTAGAGAGGCCAGATCTTGTTAGACCGCTGCCCAGAGGCATTGCCAAGATGGCTGCTGAGTGGCATGACTTGCCTCTAAGGACTTTGATTTCACACTGATGTCTGTGTTGTAAATATGAAGCTACAGCAAGCAGACAGTTAGGTTAGCTGAGACTGAAGGCAGGAGGAAACTAGCAGCAGAATACCAGCAAACGATGAAACACTGAATAGGTAGGTAGGTTTACTGTAACAAAATAACAAGTTGTAGAGTGAAATTGAGCCTTGTAACTCCCTTCTGCTACATAGACAATATACATTAATATAGAATCAATTATGAAAAATGGTAAACAGAAATAAACTATCATCACTGGATGTAATCATATGCATTTTGTTAAAGAAAACTCAAAAGTAGTTAAAGTAGAGCACTGAACAGAAGCTGTTAAGAAGTTAAGTTCTTATGAGGAAAGAAAAGAACAAGTAGAGGTAAAGGAAGAAAAGGGAGAGAAGGAGAAAAAGGCGTCAGGTAAATGTTTGATACCAAGAGCATCACTGAAAGTACAGGAGGATGAAACGACAGCTGGAGATCTGGACGAACAATATAGATTAACTGTATGTAGTTTCTATGGCTCTAGGAATAATTAGTTCATCCAGTGTTTAAAGTGCATAAAACAGCTCTGCCAGCCTGCTTAGCATTACTGGAGCTTCACAACTACGAAAGGATTTGAACTGGTTTTCTGCCACCGGACTCCTGAGAGGGAAAGCAGGCAGTGGACCAAACCACTGTGAGGCACGAGAGGGGGGGACTCAAAATGTTTCTGAACTTAAAAAGCACTTTTACTGCCCCGTTTGCGTTTTTATTGTTTTACTATTTACACAATTATTATAAGTATATATGTAGCCCGTCAGACTGAACGAGATGTTTATACCGGCCTTGATGCAAGGCAGGAGCAGCCAGCTACTTTAGCACGGCTCTACTGTTGTTTGCTTCGTAACGTTCAGTTTAGATTTTTAGTAATTTTACTGATACTCAGGTGAAAGTGTCTCCTGGTGTTTTGCTCTTTCTGTGTCGGAGTTTGCTCGCTCTTGAGTTCGAGCACACGCCTGGTTGCACTCTAAAAACTGCACCGCTAGTGGTCGCTGAAAACTACATAACACCCCTTTAATGAAAACACTCACCAACAACAAGCTGAATGTTGAATATCTGTCTTGGCTGAAGAAGTGGAAAATCACAGGTGTAGTTTCCTCTGTCGGTCACCTTCGTTTTACTGATAATGATGGAGGCGTTGCCGTATTTCAGTTCTTCTTGAAAATGTGAGACGCGACCTTTGAACTGCTGATCTTGACCTGGACGGCCGTTATTATAATGAAGGCCTCCATCATAAAAGAAAACCTCCTTCGGACCATCTTTCTTCCAGTCAAAGACTTCTGACTCAACGTTCTGCTTGTTGCTGAGGGAACAGGGTAAAATGGCGTCACGTCCTTCTTTCACAACCATTCTGACGTCACCCGACCCTGAAAGAAGAAGATTATTTTAGTCATTCTGTTCAAATAGAGATCAATCAGGTTCAGACAGAACATCAGATAACACATTTACATGTCACCTCAATGACTCTGAAACACCAGTTTATAAACACGTTAGTTAGTCGGCACATTATTTATGGAGATTTTTCATGTTTGCTCATTTAAGAATATTTAAGCTGACATTAGACAGTAGGGCTGTTTCAGAAAGCAGGTTCATCAAACTCTGAGCTGATTGAGCCTGAGGTGGGAAACTCTGTTCCAGAAAAGTCGATCAGAATTAGTTCAGTCAACTCTGAGTATGTTGAAGATGGAAGTGCATGCGTAGGCATAAAAAAAAAGCCACCGTCAATGGAGCTCCGATACTACGATTCACCATGGCAACAGGTAAATAAAGAGCCCCCATTTTAATTGCGTGGAGCTAGAAATATGAATGCGTGCCAACGCGGACCATGATAGGCTCTAAAATGCAGGAAGAGGGAATCAATAACTTCACAATATAACATTTTAAACACATTTTAATTTTACGCTACATTTGATTATTTTAAATCAGCTGTAACCAGATGGAACAAAATGCCCGTGGAAAAACCTAAAGATGAAAATATTAATCAAACAGATCAGAAGCAGTTTTCTTCATTACTTCGATGCTCTGTTAGAACAAAAGCCTGGTTTTAAGAACAGGTGACAAACACCAAAACTGCAAAGTGTTGGTTTCTCTTAACTCTTCATACAAACAACAAATCAGAAAGTGTCTAAATGAAAAACTAATGAAAAGAAACAAAACCCCGTTTATTCAGTCAAAATTTAGCTCACAGAAAACAAAACGCACACAAACTAACTTTGGATGGATGCACTTTTGTTTGGGCACAATGTTTTTTCATGAACTACAAATACTAGAAGAAAGATTCTTTTCTCCACAAAGGCAAAAAGTCAAACAAGTTCAAATAAAGTAACTTGTGTTATGTTTTGTCATTTACATCAGGACATAGATTTCCATCCACATCACATTTAAATGTTGTCTTAAAGTCACCTCTTTCAAGAACACTTCCTCTGAGCCGCTAACATCCAGCCTGCACTTCCTGTGCACTTCTTCTTCATCTCTCTCCTTAACATGTGCTTGTCTTGACGGCACCATTTGTTAACTCCTATTGCTTCCCACAGGTATTTACCCCAGTGACACCGTATGCTTTAATATCTCTTACTAACATCTAGTGTTGCTTGTAGATCTCTCTGACCTGATGCTTCTATGTTGTTCCTCAGATGTAAGTCGATTTGGATAAAGGCGTCTGCCACCTTAGATACAGTAGTTATTGATGACAAATCCAACCTCAGTAACTACAGTGATCTCTTTACAGATGAAGCCCATGATACTGAGTTTACTGGCCGTTACATTTGTGGTTGTATCAAACACCACAATGAATAAAATCACTTTGACTGGAGAGATATTTTCAGATTAGTTTGTAGTCACGTCTGACCTGCAGTGACCTTCACGTTTGGCCAAATTGTACAATTACAATTTACAATATTTGGTAACTGTTCTCTCCTTTTGTAGCTAACCCGGCCAATGTGTCTGCAGCTGAGTTAATGATTTAAAATGTATGTAGTGATCACTGCTTCAGTGTATTTGCAGTCTTACAACACAGTCAGTAACCCCAATACAAAACTTCAGCTGCAGGGCTGTTGTGTCCATGAGCAAGTGATGCACATCTAAAATTTGACTTTGTCCAATAAATAAACAACAACAACCAGAAAGCTTAATGACTAAACTTGCTAAATAATTTGTCTGGAGAGGAACTATAACCAATAGATTTTGGAAAAGTTTTTTAGTTTCCATCCTCTCTCCACAGTGATTTTACATTCATGACACAGCACCCAAGCCGTTTTGGGCCCCACATCAAGCCTTTAACGGCAGGAAAACCCTGTTAATATGACCTCATAATCATTGTAGATAAGACAGTTCATGTTTGCCTTTTGTGTCTCAATGTAAAACTTCTTTAGCTTATCTGTAGAAATTAATATGAAAATAGGCAACATGAGAACCACCTCCCTTAATTACCAAGCATTTCATTTGCACAATAATCATAAAGAATCGTCTCCTCTTTAGTTTAAAATGACTAGTTTCTTTCTCATGTATGTATTTACATTTACTCATTTAGTTTCATGCAGTTTTGTCCAGAGCGACCAGAGCTCACACGCCTCTGGAGCAACTTCATCTGCGTGATGACGTAGTAAACACAACGTGAAGTTGCATAGTGTTGAGCAGTCGGCATATTAAGCGTAGACATTGCAGTAAGCAGTAAGCGGCATCACTCTTGGTCTTGAGAAACTGAAACCCTGTAAATGTAAATGCTCCGTACTTGTATAGCGCCTTTCAAGTCTTTTCGACCACTCATACACTACATCTGCATTCACCAGTCAAACACATTCATACACTGGCGGAACAGGACAAGGACACTTCGACACGCAACCAGGGGAGCCAGGGATTGAACCGCCGACCTTCCGAATAACGGCCAACCCGCTCTCCCTGCTTTACTACGTCATCACGCAGATGAAGTTGCTCCGCGGCTGAGCCGCAGCCGCAGCCGGCACCCTGTAATTTTCCTCTGCTCGCGTTCACCGTCACTTTCTGCCGCTCAGACAATCAAACACTTGGAGTCACGCAGCTCTAACAGCAGCTTTCACTTACTGTATGTTCCGTATAGAACAAGGAGAGCAAGCGAGCAAAGCGTTTAAGTGAAAACATCAGCCGCTCCTGAATGAATCTGGGGGACACTGCTGTTGATTCCTGGCGTCAGTGGATTTCAGGAGTCACCTGGTTGTTCAGAGAAGGAGCCGCACGACATAAACAGTCGCTACACAGAATGAAACGACGTCTGAAATGTAACTTCTTAAAACCACAACTCTGCAGTGGGAATGAAATAAATATTTAGTTCACGGAAACCTCTTGGTGGCCATTAAACAACAGTCGGCATGACAGCTCCCAAATTAATGATGAACATCTAATGAAGCAGTACCGGTGTCTATCGCTTGACCAAATGTTGTGTTATCATCACCTTTAAAGTTACGCATTAGCTTTCTTACCGTTTGTATCCATGTGTCCAGGAGTTATTCCAGACACAGTCAGCAGGCAGAACCAGAAGAACAGAAGCTCCAGAGCTTTCAACTGCAACATGTTAGATAAATTACTTAAAACCAAAGTTTCTGGACTTGATAACTTGTTCCCCGCCCCTTCGCTCTTCAAGTGCAGCATAACAGAGTGCCGAATGTGGACGTTGCGTTCAAGTGCTCCTTGTATGATCGCGTGTTGTGAAGTCGCTCTCGGTGGGTTCATGTGCTTTTACATGGTAAAGTGGAAACAACATGAACGCTGAACTGTCATTAACATTGTCGTCAAAGTGTGCTGAAAAAGTGCTAAAATGTTCTCTGCTTTTCCGAGTTGTTGTTCCGACTTCAGGCGGCCGTTAAATTAATTTTCTCAGTCGGGAAGTCACTTTTCCGATTATTTCCACATAACTTGAATTCGCAAAAAGCACACACGCCCTCTTCCTTCTGCCATCTCTCGTACACCAACCAAACCGCTCCCACCTTGAATAAACCTAAGTCCTTCTCACTCCAGGTGATATAGTACTTCCCATTTGCCCAACAGGGTGTTTAACATCTACATCTTTAAAAACACATGTTCGATAGATTCACCAGTACTTTTACAAAAACTCTTAAATTAAAAAATGTTCCAAAATTATTTACAATGATAAATCTCATTCAGAATAAGTAATAATTACAAATAACTGTCCTATGTTAGTTAAAAAGTTACACACATTGTCGTATTTTCATTATTTCCCTGAAGCTAATTATCATGAGCCTTCACAAGTTAATGACATCTTATAAATAAATAAAAGGCTAAAATCTGATCCCAGAGCAGGAAATAACTCAGATCTGTGACAGACAGCATTTTACCTCTGAGCTCTGCTCTCAGTGAAACTACACAGAATAAGACAGTGTGTGTGTTTAGACACTAGAGGGCGACACTCTGTTGAGGAAGGAGACTAAAACAACCAAATCACTTAGAGAAACTGCAACAGTCAATAATGAGAGTAAGAAATTAAATTGTATGTTGGAAATATTTAGATTTTAATAACCTCTGATGAACAACAATCAGAGTATCAGTGTGGAGGTTCCACTTAAATAGACCTACTTTAATAAAATAAAAAGTCAACTCCAATAATAAAAACATTTGTTTAATTTCAGTCCCGTCCCACGTTGAGCTGCCTAAAGACCTTTTTCACACCGGGGATGAAATGAAAAAAGCTATGAGGAATATTCGTTGATGATTTTTCTTTGACACTAAACATTCCACAAAATTTGCACAAATTGAAACAGACCAAACAACTTTGTGTGGATAGGCTGGTAGAGATAGATGGGGTCAATTTATCACCAGTTTATTCAGACTGGTAGTGATTTTAACCAAATAAAAACAGAATCAACCGTTAATCTAAATTTCCCCTGTACGGGGGACTAACAAAGTTTTATCTTATACTACAGCTCAAGCTTTTGTGGATGTTTGATGGCACTACATGGTTGAGGTACAAATTACATTATTGTATAAAGGCCACGTTACATTTTTCCTTTTTGGTTTTAGCTGCTGAGCATTTGGAAATAAATATTAGGATTTGATCTGATACTTTTATCAGGTCCCTCTTTTTTAAGTTATCTCATCATATTGTTTACTTTTCACTCTGTTTTTGTTGAGATAGCTTCTTCTCTCTCATTTTGGTGACATTTCTTTAATAGTCTAGTGGATATTTCAATTTTGACTCAACAGTGTGAGAGAAGCACGAGAGAACCTCTGGGTGAAGTATATGATAATAATCTGACTTCTCACTTGATTTATTAACTCAGTTAGACTGATGAGTCTAAATATGATCCCTTCTATATAACATTATCCAGAGACTTACATTAGCTATATACCGTGCATCCAGAACAATACTCATAATGACAACATGAAATGAGTTTGTTGACAATGACATAGCTTTAGTGCTGCATTTAACGCCCTATTAGATTCAGTTGGCTTCAGTCAGTGTTCATAAAGCCAGTCACTGTTTAAACCACACCCTCCTCAACCTAGTTTTGGCATTGAAATTGAACATTTAGTAGTTTTTTTTACACAGAATCCCACTTTATCTGACCACTATTTAATAACTTTTGTACAGGTACAGGATGGGGAATATTCTGTTATGCATGTGACTTAAACCTTATTATTTATATTTGTTGTATTTCTGCAGAACCACCTACACGAACACAAGTTCACCAACATCTGTTACAGTCAGTTTAAATGTCCTGTGACATTTCAGTAGAGATAATAAAATAAACTATAAACATTATTCTACAATATGTATAAAAATAAACACATTCACTGATATAAGCGTTGCATTTCCTTTCTGTATACAACAGCAATACTAGCAGCACCTCATTATCACTGTCAAAATAACCTATTTATAAGAGAAACCTACACAAAATACACCAATCCTCCAGTTTAAATTCAAGTAATTTACACAAATTGAATTAAATGACAAGAAAACATAGTCTACCATTTAAACACAGAATCAATTGACTATATACCTTTAAATCAAATTGTTACACACCTCATGAACCTGCCCTGCAATGCTCTTTAAAACCTTTGTTTTCTCTGGTCGGAGTCACCTTCACACCTAAATCGAGCTCCCTAACCTGCATGGGGTTTAAATACAGCGGCCAACTTTCGGACGAACTACCCTTTTCCCCCCCAGCGTAAAGAGGATCTGACTTTATCGCTGCACTCACTGCTTTAATATGTATATCTAATAAATAACAATTGTATTAAGATTCAGGATTAATGTTGAGGAAAAGTGTGTTTTTTGCAACAATGAATCTTCATTATTCAAATTATTTTGGTCAGATTTCGATTAAGCTATTTCTTTAAGACTCTTACTAACTGGACTTCTTCCCTTTCCGGTAGTCTTGTGCTTTCTCGTCCCTCTCCTCTCTCCTCCTATCACTTCCTGCAGGTGTTTCAGGCTCTGGAGCTGTGGAGTCTGGATCTGTGGTTGCGGGTCACCCTCTGCTACACTTATTGTTACTAGTCCTGTTGTTATTATTATCATTACGATTATTATCATAGACATTACTATGAATATCTGTAGGCCTACCATTATTCACTCGGTCTGTAGCAACATTGCCTTTATATTGTGTAGGCTGCTCCAGAGCCCTTTAAAGAGAGAGTCGCGTCAGCGGGGGTCCAAAATGCTACATCGTCACGTGGTTCATGGAGACCGCAGATACAGTAGTTCCCGGAGGTCCTGGGTGGGCAATTCAAAATGAGCGAGAGAAACAACAAAACGGCGATTTTAAGTGATTTCTGGTCATTTATACAATAAATGCGTTGATTTACAATATTTGCACAGCACGGTGACACGTGTATGTAGTTACATTACTATTTTTTAAAAAGGAGGACATATATTTTTGACAATAACAGCTACAGTCACCTTGTGGACATTTTTTGGCCAACCTTACATTGGAAAGTGTTCCTCTTGAAAACACGTTTAAAATTCAGATCAGATTTACCTTTCTAACATTCCTTTTAGTGATCCCACGGTACCAGGGTTAATTGATCTTAAAGACTAATGTAATCTTTATGACTTCAGATAGAACAGACAGGTGACGATCAATGATCGTCATGTATTCATTTATAAATCTCCAGTAAACTCAGAAAACAGCATGTTAAGTGGTTTGTGTCTGTGAACTGTCTTACAATAGTCCACAGCAGGTTTATTGTGCTGTGTGGAGATGCTGCTGCAGTCGGTCAGAAAAAAGAAACGAATGTTTGGTTTCCCAGCTGACACGGAGGAGGAGGAAAAAATGGTTGACTCAGGTCAACAGGAGCAACCTTACAACCACTAAAGAGGCTAACAACAAAAATATGTGAGGTAAAGACAGACATGACTGCAGATCATCTTCAGGCTCCTCTGAACCCCCTGTGAGAGAGAGAGCGTTAGACAAACCTACACATCTTTAAAGATTCATCCAGGTCATGGTTATCCAAGAAAAGTAGAATCGGGAGCATCTGGACGTTTCAGAAGAAGTCCAGTTGCCCTCGACCTCAACCTTCGTTGGAAGGCATAGGTAAAGAGCACCTTATGAACTAGAACTATGGAGAGTGTACGGTCTTGGTCCCCGGCCCCAGTGAGACCACTGGATTGAACAGAGATCGGAGAACTGCCCACTGCTGTCTCAGGTTCTCCTTTGGTTGGCACTAAATTAATTTCTCTCTCTTTTGGATGAATGCGGAGTACAGTTGGAATCGTCCGGCCACGCCTTTCCTGCAACTCACAAGCCACAATTCTCCATCCGTCCCTATGTTTGTAGGGCAACCTTTTCACTATGGTCAGCATTGTGGTAGGCATGTTCAACTCTTCCATGGCGTTACAACATCCTCGCAGAAAAAGACTGTATGCCTGTCGAGATTTCACACCTTCAGATTTTATTGGTGTCCATGAAAGAGCCTTTTCCATACAGGCTGAAGCAATTTTCCCAAAATGCTCTTGTAGCAAAGCCTTAGCCTTGCCATGTCCTCTGTCACGTGCCATATGTTGACAGCTTCTGACAAGCTCCCTTGGCTGCCCCCTGGTGTACTGTTCAAGGAAGCACAAGCAGTCTTTGGGATTGTCAGCCTTCTCTTCGATGCTGTGTTCAAAAGCCCTCATGAAGGTGTGATATTGCAAAGGATCACCGTCAAAAACCTGAAGGTCTCTTAGGCAGAAATGAACGAGATTGTTGCTGAACCAATAAAGCAGTTATTTCATTTTGTTTTTCCAAAACCGTAATTATTTGACTTTGGTCACTGCTGCTTGTCACCAGTGTTGCCGACTGATGATTCCTGTGCTGAAACAGTGGACGTGATCGTACCGTCTCTCGATGTCCTGTCCAACTTGTGCATTGATTCCTTTTGTGATACAAATATAGGAGCATCATTTGTGACAACATGAGCAATAGTACGGCTTGTTTGTCTCCCTGTTTCAGAAAGCCATCCTTTTGCATCCTCCATAAATCCATTGTGGCATTTTAGTATGTTCATAAACAATTCATTTTGTTTTTCCTGTTCCTCTTCAGGAAGTATGGGAATCACAGACTCATGTAACAAAGTTTCATCCAACATTTGACTCATTTTCTCAAGATAAGATCGTACTTGTGGGGCATTATCATCCTTTTGCATGAGATCCTTTATTGTCTGTATTAGACCTTTGATTTTGTGAACCTTTTTTCTACGTTCCTTTTGTAGTGTTTCAATTTTATCCCCCAAAGCTTTAGAAGTGAGTTTAATTTCTCTCTTTTGTTCATCCATCTCTGAGCCATTGACATCTGATTTTGATCCACTTGTTGCCATTTCCCAATGTACCACAAATCATCCAAGAATCCACGCCGTTCAATCAATC